GTAGCTTGTTTCTGTCAGAGAATAAAGCATATAAATAAATGAACTATAAATAAATGAACAAACCCTGAGAAGCCAGAGCACTTCTGGAGTTTATTATCAATTAAGTGATACTGTCAAACTGAAATCCAGTGACAGCCCAAAGCCATGAAATTATTGCAGGCCTTGACATGGCAGAACTATTTCATCCTGGACTGTCAATAAGCAAGACAGTGTGTTCTGGGCCTTTAATTTATTGAAAACTGCCCCACTAAGCCCTGTCCAAAGGAAGGAATGTCTTCTGGTTTTGTGCTTCTGACTTGTTCTCCTTGCCCCTCCCCTCAACAGCCTGAACTGCAGTTGTAGATTGGCCTCAGTGGGAGAACAAATTTCCCAAACAAGCCTGGAGAGAATCCTGCAGGATATGAGCTGAGATAAAAGTTGTAATGCATTATAGTTTGTCAGAGGACACTGAGTCCCTGAGTGTCTCCAAGTGGCAGAGAAGTATTCTTTCAAAACCAGCCCTCCTGACCCCCATTCCCAAAGGGCTCCTAAAGAAAGGGATTTGCTTGAGCTGGAATGTTTGGCCAGGTTGCTGTCTCCTGAACACGACTGGGAGTATGCAATCCATCTGTTATGTTTGGCCACGCTTCCCACTTGGCTGCATGGCACAGAAACCTAAGTATTCCAGCTGGGGCTATAAATCCAATTTGAACACACTTTGTCCAGCCATAACACCACAAAGTCCTGATTTTCTCCAGGAACACCAATCTCTGCTCAGAGGCAGTCAACAGATGACTGAATTATAGCAGGGAATGTTATTGTTGCATGGAACTGGTTTCATGTGTGCTTCACCTTCAGCTACAAGAACAGATGCTAACGAGGCTGCTGGGGAAGCAGAATTTCCATGGGAAAACTGCTTTTCCTGCAAACAGTAATTCCAATTTGAGCGTTCCTGTTGCCCTGAAGTGATGTGTAGCACTAGCTGAGCTTCAGGAGAATGATGCTTTTCTTACAGAATTGGAGAATTTCTGGCTTTTTACTGGAATGCTGCCTGAGCCCTGGGGCTGCTGTGGAACTGCTGTTTGGTGCTTACCCTGCCAACACACCCTGGAGCTGAACACACTGAGAACTATCCCACTAAAAATCCAGCATGCTGGGATCTGACTAAGCAGGGAAAGAGTCCAGTTTCTTGGAGCAGTTGATCTGGCTCTCAGGAAAGCTGCTCAGCAGGTTGGAAAATGAAGCAGTATCGATGCCTTCAGTCCAGTCATGAAAATATTTCAGTTCTGGAGGTGCAGATCTTCAACTGTTTTATGTAATAGCCATGGAGATCTTTTTCTCTCTCTCTCTCTCTATATATATATCTAGAAGATAATAAAAAAAAATTTCTTCTTCCTAGGAACTCCAGCAGCTTAGCAAGCAGTACAGCAATATCAAGCTCCTCCAACTGGGTAAGTAAAGGGCTTTATTTCTGTCCATAGAAATATGTTCAACTTCCTCAGGTGAGTGCACCTTAAGAACTCGCTCTCTTGGGTGTTCAGTGGCTGGACATGATCTCCAGCAGCTGAAAACCCCCTTAAGATAACACTGGGGAAACAAAACCTACCTAAAATCTTCTGTGCGTTTTCACCTGTGCGCTGCCTAAATGTCCCCACTCAGCTTTGGCTTTGGTTTGGGCACGTGTTGTGTCGTGCCAGGCAGGCTCTGACCCACACTGTTCACTGTGCCTCCTCTGTGCAGATGTGGTCTGTGAAAACAGCATCAAGAAAGTAGTCAAGGAAGTGGAAGAAATTGTGGGGGACAAAGGGCTGAACTGCCTCATCAACAACGCCGGCATCAACGTGCTCGCCTCCTTGGAAGAGGTCACGGCAGAGACGATGCTCACCATCTATGAAACCAACACTGTTGCCCAGCTGATGGTCACCAAGGTAAGAACTGGGAGAAATGTGCTCAATCTGGGGTATTAAAGGGGGTTTTCTCTTATAACCAAAGTGTTTTTCCCCTTGGAACTGCACGGGTACAGTTCTGATGTTGAACTGCGTGTCTGGAGAGCAGCAGTCTGTCAAGGACCTTTCTCTGCATTTAGACCCACCTGGGGTGAGGTCACTTCAGAGGACAGGGGGGGGTTAGGAGGTGGGTGGGAGAGTCTGAAGGTCCTTGCTACTTCCAACTGGCTGCTGTAGGAAGGTCTCCTATGGCCACCAAGGAGTCATCACCATTCTGTGCTGGTGGTACTGGAATTCTTCAAGAGCCTGGCTTGCCTTGAATGGGGAAATTACGCAAACTAAATCAAACCAAAATCACGAAATTAAACCAAACTCTTGTTTTCCCAGGCGTTCTTACCCCTCCTGAGGAAGGCAGCCCAGCTGAGCACAGGAATGGGCTGCCACAGAGCTGCTATTATCAACATGTCCTCTCTTGCTGCCTCCATGCAGCTCGTCCAGGCAAATGAGATGTTCCTCAAGGTCTATCCCTACAGGATAGCCAAGGTTTGTGGGCTCCCCTGGGCTGTGCTCCCTGGCTGAGGGCAGGCTGGGAGTTAGAGACCATGCTGAGCTTAGGATGGTGATGGACACAGAAACTGTGCTTGTTCTTCTCGTGGGTGGAAGTGGGACCTGTAAAACACCTGGAGCAAGCATGTGAACTTCTGAAGAACAGGCTCCCAAAATCACTGCTGTGATTCAGAGGGATCTGGCATTCAGGGGAGAACTGATGCCATGAAATGTGTGTGCTGTCAGCTGCGTTCCTCTCCAGTGGAGGAGAGAGAGCACAGAACTCAGCAAAAGGTGTGCTGACCTGTACGTGGTGATGCTGGTTAGTGAGAGGAGGGATTTTTAGTTTTCTCACCTCCAGAGACTGAGTTTGTACGGATAGCGAAGATCAGACACAGAGTTTCTCCTACACCACCTACTCATAAGCTGTTAAACGCTTGTTTTCCCTGTTCAGAAGTAAATGAAGGTTTGTGTAGTGATTATTGCAGAAAAACACAGTCCTTATGTCAACATTATTTTCCTCACAGCTCCTCAGGAGTTTCAAATGCTACTGTATCTTCCATCACAACTTAGTTTCATCTTTGGGCAGTCAATTTGTGGTTACAGAGCTTCCACAATGCTTCTATTAACAGGTGTCTCTGAGAATGAAGGTCCAGTAAGTCTGGATAAGTTACTGTGATCTTTTAACTGCCCCTTCCTTTGTCAGAATTGTGGAAGGGAGGTGCCAATTAGCTTGGTTTGAGGTCTTGCTTGAGGTTTATAAACCAGCACCCTAACAGATGGTTTCCACTCTCGCAGACTGCACTGAACATGATCACCAGGTGTCTCGCTGCAGACTTGAAATCGGATGGAATTCTCTGTATTTCTTTGCATCCAGGCTGGCTCCAGACAGACATGGGTGGAAACATGGTAAGTGACATCTCTGAAAAGGTGGAAGTAGGGCTCCCTTGTTATCCCAAGAGCCCCTGGCACAGTGTTCAGCTCCCTGTGCTGCAGAGGCACACTGTGAAGCGGGAAGATACATCCCTCTTGATTCTAGTAACTCCTTAAGTGCATTTGATTCTCTTCCATAGGAAATTCCCAGTAACGAACCCAAGCTTGATTCTTTCCAGGCTCCCATGCAGGTGCAAGAGGCTATCCCAGGTATTCTCTCTGTTCTGGACCGTCTTGGTGAAAAAGAGAATGGTTCCTTCCTGGACTGGCAAGGGGAAACTCTACCATGGTAGAAGTGCACAGGTTACTAAAGAAACAGCACGTCAGCCACGCTCTAACCTCTCATGTCTGTGTCTCTGGGGTTTTCTCACACACTAGTTGAAGTAGCCAGTCTGATATTCAGCCTCTCTAGGTGTCTTTGAAAAATGAAGTGGCTGACTCTCTCACTTGGTATTGCTACTGCTCTATTCTAATGCTTCCTGCAAACACTACTGTGCTCTTGGTGGTGGTGGTTATCTCCTGGAACCGTCTGAAATGGATTAAAATCTGCGAGTTAAATCCAGGGGCTGGTTCCTCTTCACTTCCGAAACCAAAGCGGGCCTCTTGCTCTCTGCAGAGTTAAATGAGCTGACCTCAGAGCAAGGCCAGTGTAGGCTGTCAGATCCCAGGACGTTCAGTCTGCTGGAGACATGTCTCCAGAAAAGAAGTCCTTTGGTTTCCTTCGGTCTTAACTGAGCCAAGGCTGAAAGTGCCCAGCTCTAAACCACGTGAATTTGGTACTTCTGTAAATTCCTTGGCAAACTGTCCCCAGGTTGACAGCGTACACCAGGCATTGCTTTGTTCCCAGTGGGTGACTAACATCCTGATACGGGGGTGGGAATGTTGTTTTGTACATAGACTTCTTAAGTGTCTTCAATAAAGTCTTGTTTAAAAAACCAGTCTGTTTACTGAACTACTTCCTTAATTAATTTCTCTTCATTGGTTTCTCTTCCCTGTCCAAAGAACTGCACTTCTACCTTGCAAGGAGGAACTCCAGCCATTGCTGTTCCCTTTCAGGCTAGATGAGTTTGACATGGTGGGGTTTAAAACTGAGACAGATCCTTGTTCTGGTCTGAAACACTAAAAGCAGCCGGTGAATAAAGCCCTTGTGAGCTGCTGAGGGAGCTATAAAAGCAAAGCGTTCTTTGAAGTCTGGGATTGGCTTCACCATCCCTCCCTCATGCCAGCTGATTAGGCACTTTCATGCTGTGCCAACATGGTGGGTTCCTGCACCAAGAAAAGACAAACAACAGCCAGGTAAGAGGGAGAGACAGGTGTGGCTGTGCCTGGACAGCAGCCACTGAGACCTGCCCACGGATGCAGACGAGGGTGTGTAAGGGAGAGGTGTCTGCCCGCCTTCCATGATCCCCGTGGCAACAGGGATAGACTGTCTCACTGGAACGAAATCACAGGATCACCGAGGTTGGAACAGACCTCCAAGAACATCAGGTCCGACCTTTGACTGATCTCCACCTCGTCAACTAAACAGTTCCAGTCGTTCCTTGAACCCCTCTGGGGATGGTGACTCCACCATCTCCCTGGGCAGCCCCTTCCAATGTTTAACAACCCTTTCTGTGAAGAAACTCCTCCTGATGTCCAAAATTCCTCCTGATGTGGCTTGTTGTGCCATGCTGCTGTGCTCAGACCTGTTTCAGCTGTGACTCAACAGGTGAACACAACACAGACATTGACTTTCCAAGTGCGACTGAGGTGTCTGTGCAAACCCGGTGGATGACGGACATGCTGGGTTTGAACCGGTTGAATGATTTATTTTGGATCGAAGCCAGGGAAGGGTCTGGAGCACCAGGAGAAGCTGAAGGAGCTGGGGGGGGCTCAGCCTGGGATGCTCCCACAAGGTCACTGAGACCAGGACTGAGACCAGGACTGCAAGGGGTCATGAGGGACCGTGAAGGACTGTGAGGGACTATGAGGGACCATGAGGGACCATGAAGGGCCAAGACCATGAAAGACTGTGAGGGACTATAAGAGACCATGAAGGACCATCAGGGGCCATGAAGGGCCAAGACCAGGACCGTGAGGGGCCATGAAGGACCAGGACCAGGACCATGAGGGCCCATGAAGGACCGTAAGGGGCCGTGAGGGGACCATGATGGGCCGTGAGGGACCGTGAGGGGCCATGAGGGACCATAAAAGTCTGTGAGGGACCATGACAGGCCCGTGAGGGACCATGAAGGGCCGTGAGGGACTATGAAGGGCCGAGACTGGGGCTGTGAGGGGCTGTGAGGGACCATGAAGAACCACGAAGGACCACGAAGGGCCGTGACGGACCGACCATAAAGGGCCGTTACGGACCGTGCGGTGCCACCACTCCGCCACCCCCAGAGGGCGCCGCCGGTGCCTCCGGAAGTTCCGGCGGCGGCGGGGCCGGTGTGTGACGGCGGGTGATGGCGGCGGGGCCGGGGAGGGAAGGAGGGAAGGAAGGGGGGAGGGAAGGAGGGAAGGAAGGAGGGAGGGAGGGCCGGGCGGGCCGTGCCGGGGCTCGGGGCGGCGGCGGGGAGCGCTGGGAGGGCTGCGGGGAGCGGGGGCAGCCCCTCGGTTCCGGCCCATCGTTAGGGCCGAGCGGCTGCTCCGCCCGGCCTGAAGGGGGAACAGCGCTGTGCCGGGGAGACTCGGCTGCCGTGTTTTTAAAGCTAAAGCAGCCCAAGCTTTATTAGTTAATCACCTCCGCGGCTCAGCTACCCCCTGTGCTTGGCCCCCACGGCACAGCCCGGCAGACTGATATGGTAAAACGAGGAGGGTGCTTAGGGTGTCTCAGCTCGTCTTTTTGGGGGGTTGAGGTTAAATAGAGAAGGTTTTTTTATAAAATGCATGTTTACCTCTGTAAATGAATGTTCTTATTTTAACAGTCATTGCTGGCTCTGCCAGTCAACAAAGTGAAACAAAATGTTAATATCACAGCTGAGTTCCCAGTTACTGAAGGCTTCGAGAATTGCAGGTAAAACTGGTGTTGTGGGACCCTATTTGTTTATCTGTTTTGTTTTTTTCCCGGGGTAATTTGTCTCTCAGAAATTTCTTTTCCGGGGAAGCAATGACCAGGAGTGAGGAGGCTGTTGTTGAGTCAGTGGTTACTGAGTGCTATTACCTCTCAGATCTATTATGTCAGGATTGAGTAGCTCTGACTTAACCTCTTCTAAGCCAAAGAGGAGATTCCTTAGCAAAGCACAGGTTTGATACAGCAAACGGTTCCTCACCGTTCCAAATTGCACTTCATGGAATCATGGAATGGTTTGGGTTGGAAGGGACCTTAAAGATCATCCAGTTCCAGCCCCCTGCCGTGGGCAGGGACACCTTCCACTAGACCAGGTCTGCTCAGTGAAGGAGAACCTCCACCCTGCTCTACCTGGGTGACTTGGGCAGTTCACACAGTAAAGTACAGTGTATTTTTAGCAGATGGCATTAGAGCAGCGTAATTAAAATTTAGAAAGACTTCCTTGCTTTTGTGATGATGACAGTACAGTTTTTGTAAGGCTTTTCCTCTATCACACTGTTCTGGCCAGAGCTGCCTGGTGGTTTGAGAGCTGGGCAGAGCTTTTCTGGTGAAAATTCTGCCTTCTAAACGAAATTCTTTTCTCCTAAAGGCCACCTTTTGCCCAGGTCTGTGTCTTCCTTCCTTTGCTGCCGCTCCACGTCCGCCCACTACAGCACCCAGCCCCCCAACACGAGCGGGGCCCAGCCCCAGCAGTGGCACACCCTGGACCCTGAGCTGGAGGAGATCCTGATTCCCAGGAAACTCTCCATCAGCCCCTTGGAGAGCTGGCTGTCAGTGAGATATTCCCTTCCCGAAGCAGAGGGAGCTCAGGAGGAGGTGGGCCATGAGCCCCCTCAGGGGTCCGAGTGCCCCCCGCCCGCTGTGGGGGAAGGAGGGGCAGCCCCTGGGGGGACAGTGCAGTGCAAGAACGTCCTCAAGATCCGCAGGAGGAAGATGAACCGCCACAAGTACAAGAAGCTGCTCAAGAGGAGGAAGTTCATCCGCAGGAGGATAAAGGAGGGGCGCAAGAAGAGGCGTCAGGTGAGCTCAGGGAAGGGGGAATTCCCCGGTGCCAACGTGGCCGCTCCTCAAAACGGCCCCTGTGCAGGTGTTGGGGGGATGTTTTTAAGTGGAATTGTTTTAAAGCAGCAGCTTGGAGAGCCTTAAATTCAGTGTTTAGCCCAAAGCTGTGCCAGGGAAGGTTCAGGTTGGACGTCGGGAGGAATTTCTTCGTGGAAAGGGTGGTCAGGCCTTGGAAGGGGCTGCTCAGGGAGGTGGTGGAGTCCCCATCCCTGGAGTGTCCAAGGAACAGCTGGATGTGGCACTCAGCTGCTCTGGGCTGGGGGACAAGCTGGGGATGGGGCACAGGGTGGACTTGATGATCTTGAAGGCCCTTTCTAACCTTAATGATTCTGGGATTGTGAGATAGGTAATAGGTGAAATTTTTTCTTCCATGACAGTAAATTACAAAAACATGTGGCTGATGGAGAAGAATTTTGGTGTTTGTGTGAAAGATGTGTCTGTGTTGTATCAGGGAGATTGGTTTAATCTTAATTTCTCTCCTGTCTTGCCAACATCCTCAGGTGCTTCCTGTTGTTTTATCCTATAGAGAAGCCTTTTCCTTCCATTAATAGAAGGGTTGGGGGAAGACATGGGCCTCTGTTCAAACTATGGATGTTCTCATTCAGCACTGCCTTTCAGTAGGGTTTGCTGTGATAGTTTCATTCATTCTCTGCTAATTCTCACCTTGCCTGGCTGCAAATTGGGGTTAATTGTAATTCCATGTCTTCAGATTTGTAGGAGGCAGTGTTGAACACTTAATGATGAGAAAATCCTCTTAATTATCTTCCCATTTCACTGTCCATCTTCTCACTTCTTCTTGCACAAGGCTTTTAAAACAATGCTGCCAAGATCCTTGTGCATTTTATTGTCTAATAATGTACTTTCTGCAGCAAGGTTAAATATTTTGTCACTTAAAACAAGCTGCCTTTGTTTCCTTTGTGTGTGTTACACTCAGATTGTCCTTGGGAGGTGTGGGCAGTGGCTGTGAATGAATATTCAGGTGTTGCTTCTGGGCTGTGTTACATTTTTTTTTTCTTCTTTTTTCTTTTCTGTTTTAGATGAAATTCGAGAAGGATTTGGAGCGCATCTGGAAAAGGGCTGGTTTGAAAGGCCCTCCTGCAGGCTGGCAAACACCCAAGATATTCCTGAGGAGTTCAAAGCGATAAAACCCCACCTGTCATGAGTTTTGACCTGTAATTGTAATTAAAAAAAAAAAATATTGCAGTACGTGGATGACATTTACCCTTTCTCTGAATGTGATGAAATGAGCAGGGAGGAGTTTTCCAAGCACAGACCTGATGGGAATATGCTTTTCCTCCCCAGAGGAGTGGTGGGAGCTCTTTGTGTGGTGGTTTGGTGCTCTTTGTCTGAGCAAAGGTGTCCTGGGGCTGCAGCTGAATTTCTGGAATTCCTGTTTGATTAATTAGAGCATAAGAACAATCAGTTGTGGGAGATGGGATCAGTGGAAGGGTTCCTCTTGACTGTATATATGACACAAGCATTTGGAAAAGGTCAAAACTGCATTCTCTCATAGCCTTGTTTCAGAAAGGCTGGTGTTTCCTAAGAATTCTGGGGAGATAGGAGTTGGATCAGAATTCCATAGAATGTGTCTGTATCTGCAAAAGCTTTATCTGAAGCCTTGGTGTGCATGTGCCTTAGGCATTGCATGGACAACCTTAAAGGCACATTTGTGCTCTATTTTGTGCTAATAAAAAACTGTTATTTTTTTTTTTCTTTGATTGACCCCTGTCACACAGAACATCCAGATCTTGGTATCAATAAAAGCTCAGAGCTAAATATTCGTTAACTACAGAAACTTTTGTGCCTGAGGCAACCCTGGTAATAATCACCTGGTTTTGCATGGTTGAAGAGAGTCATGAAAGGTGTGAAAAAAATACAGGTATCTAAAATAAACCCCGACAGAGGACTTTATATCTGGCCTCTGGTTTGGGTTCTGCTTTTGGGTTTTGTGTTTGAGGCAGTTCTGGGTGGTTCAGTGTGATTTAACTTTTCCCTCTCTGCATTCCTGGGCTGAACTGACCTCTGGGAGAGGAGGGAAGAAGAATCAGCTCCTTTGGGCTGGTCATTGTGCAGTGCCTGGGGAAGCTGCCCTGAAAATGCATCCCCCTTTATTCTGCTTTAATGTTCCTGAGCACAGGATGCAATTTGAAACTCCCTCACTTTGCTGAACAGGATCAGGCAGATGAAAGCTGCACTGAAATTTTTCTGCAGAGGGAGCACGAGTCCAGGAGATCCTGTTCACAAAGCTTTGCTGTGAGCTGCTCTTCCTCTCCAAAATATCAGCACACTTAGCAAATGTGTACGTGCATGTGTAGTTGTGATAACAAAAAAAAAAATACCAGGAAAGGTTTGACTGTTGTAATTCCCAAAATATTTAAGACTTGGAAGATTTCCCTTTCGTCTCCTTATTTTGCTGTCCCGAGAGGAAATGGTTGGAAGCAGGAGGTTGCTGAGACAAATCCAGGCTCTTTATTCCAGAGATTGGAGAGAACCAGTGGGATGATGATTTTGTGTCAGTCATTAGTCTGGAAAGGTCCCTCAAAATTGGTGTAGAAACCCAGTTTTTCTCTCATGCTTATACCCTTAATTCTTGGATTGCGTGCACTTCAAATCAGACAGCGAGCTCAGCTGAGAACATTGGAGTTTAATAGTTTTTCTCACAGTGATCAGGTTTGTGCTGAAGTGATTTGGCTCTAAAAGAGGAAGTCAGCTGACTTGGAAGGGCCGAAAGTTCTGAATTTTGTTTCTTTTAGCCAAAAAACATCCCACTGCTGGCTCAGAGAGTGTTCTGCCTTTTGGAAAAGTGGGAGCCCAGCACCGTGGTGGCAGTGGCTGCTGGCTGGATGTGGCAGGAACACCCATTTCTTTCTAATGCTGGCAAATAATGCTTCCTGGCAAATGAAATTTTGGTTGTCTCCTTGGCCTGGGTAGCAGTGTTTTTCTAGTAGGGTAAGAATTAAATGCATTTTTAGGAGTCTTCTCTAGAAAACGTGGTGTTCAGTTACATCAGCGTGGTTCTTGAAGAGTTTTAGAGGCTTCTGGACATAAAATAACAGTTCTTTCAGCGACACAAATGGATGCAGAATAACTTACAGCTGAGGCTCAGGCCTGGCTGTATATGGGAAAGGAAGCAATGCAAAAGAACTGCTTCCTGCAGCTTTTTCCTCAACTATTGTGTCAACACAATCCAAGATAGGCTTGCTTGGCACAGGGGTGGAAAAGCCTGGATCAGCTGCCAGTGCTTTGCATGGTTAAATGATTGTTTAGTGCTCACAGAGCTGAGGTGTTTGCAATGACAGGGGATTTTTAGAAATGATGCAGAAGGAGGGGATTTATGATATTGATGGGAAGTAGAAAATTAATTTCAAGTACCTTTTTATAAAGGGAGCACCCTCTTCATTGCAGGGCAGATCAAGAAGCCAGGAAAGTTGGTCACTTGGCAACAAGGATTGAAGCCCAAATGGGTGGAAAATAGAAACATTTGAAGTGTGTATAAGTTGCATCATCTTAGCAATTAATTCATCTCTTCATGCCCAAGTTAACCATGACCCCTCATGGTCTGGGGTCTGTGGAAAAGGTTTTAGCCTTTGCTTCAATTCTCCACAGGAACAGCCTCCTTGGTAATATCTCCTGTAGTTTTGGGTCACTTCAAATGAATTCTGTTCAGCTCTGGAGTTTGGCATGGAAAAAGGGGGAGCCCAGCAGGCTACTGGTCTTGGTTAAAAGCAACTGGTGCCTGTTTAAAGCACAAAAGGATGTTCCTTTTGTTTGGAACTCTTGTGCTTGCCCTGCAAAGCTGTGTTGGATTTTTCTGTTTGGGTTTACTGTTTGTTGGGGGTCAGGGGTTTTTTTCTTTGTTTATTTTTGTATTGTGTGTGTGTGTGGTTGTTTGATTGATTTTTGTTTGTTTTTTGTTTGATTGGTTTTGGTTTGGATTTTTTTTTGTTGTTTTAATATCAGAGGGAGAGGAGCATTTCTCTGCACAGCAAAACTCTGCCACTGGAAGCCCAAGTTCTTTCCATGTCCATATTGTGGGAACTGCTCTTTCTTCCATTAGGAAACTCGAGACCAGTCTTAAAAAGAAGTGAGTAGCCCATGTCAGGGAAAACTTATGAGCATCTGGTGTACAAAACACCTTTTAGGGGATTAACAGGACCTGACTATCGTTGCTTAATAATTCCTGAGCAGGAACAGTGGCTACCTTTACTCTGGTGAGCTCATGCCTGTGTTAAATGGGACACTTTCATAGGAAAAACTGTCAAAATATTGGTGTATGCTTGTTGGCTTTAATAGCTCTGGGTCCTTCTCAAATTCTGAAGGCAGCTCTGCTTCAGTGGGTCTGACCCCTGCTCCAGGGGTTCCAAATTTAACAAACCAGGCTTGTTTCCACTGGCTGATCTCACAGACAGCACCTGTGGATAACTTAAAATGACATCTTTTCTTTTCACCAGTCGTGTTCTGCTGTTGGCATTTCTGTCCTGACTGGGAAAACATCCTGGTTTGGGTTCATTTGGGCTGAGCCTGATGGGTTCCTCTTCCAAAAATAACAGCACTCAGTCCTTCACCTGGAGCGCTGCTTTTGCGGGTTGGAAAAGTGGGGTTTGTTTTTCCTACTGATTTCTAAATAAATAAATAAAATATCAATAGCTGTAGCTCCTGCAGACATCTGAGCTGGCTTTGAGCAAACAACAGTGTGCTGGCTTTCCTGTGGAAGGATCCATTCTTGCCTGACTTTCCCTATAAAACACAGGGACAAAACTGCAACAAGGAGTTCTGTGAGCCAGGGAGTTTAAGGAAACCATGTGATGCATCACTTTTGCATCAGTTCCCTGATTTAGGGAATGTTTTTAGTCTTGCTCCCTGCCTGGGCACTAAGAATTATAAAACAGACTTTTCCCCTTGAATGCAGCTGAAATTTTCTGTTGTGGTTCAAAATAATGGGAAGAAGGAGGAGGTTGGATGGGCAGTGGGGCCACATAACTGTAGGTGCCTTGTTTCCTTAGGAAATGGAAACAGGGCTAAATGGAAGTGGCTAAAAATTTAGTTGGAAGTAGAAGAATAATGTGAAATACTGGTTCTAAAGTGAGATTTTTCACTTGTTCAGTAATCAAGGCTTGGTGCTGCTCAGGCAGAGGGATTGTCATTGCCTTTGGTGTGTCCAGGTCTGGAAAAAAACACTCCTGGAAGCCTCTCAGCAGCTGGAGCACCTCGGAGTCCCTCTTCACTTGCAAAGTGACTGGTGTTGAGGCAAAGATGTGGAGTCCTGAGCAAAGAAAGGCCACAGCAGGTAAAAAACCCAACAGCTTGGGATTTGAGAGGTTTGGTTTGAGGGAATCAGTGAGAAGCTTCTGGCTGAGCTTTATCACGTGCCAGTGAGGAACTGGTTAAAGTTGAAGGATAAGAAGAAAAAGGTTGAAGAGGCTGCAAAGAGTTTTAGTCAGCAAAGGGAGCTGTGTGTGAGCAGCAGCAGTGACTCACCAGCCCCACTGCCCGGCTGCTCCTTAGTCAGAGCCCATGATCCCTCCCTGGCCAAGGGTTTTCCCTGCTGTCAGCACGGAGGGAGCCAGTCCCTGGAGGGGCAGCCAGCTGGACCCTGCCCAGCAGCAGCATCAGCAGGTACATCCTGAGGGCAAAACATGTGCCTGCTCCCCTGGGCTGAGCCTGCTTGGGCTCCCCTGACCACTCACCCCATTGGGTTTCCAGCTGGGCAGCATCTGTCCTGCTGCTTTCCCGAGGTCTGAGTGGGCATCCCCCGAGGATTCCCTGTCCCTCTGGTGTGGGAGGGTGTTGCTGTTGGCATCCTGTAGGCTCGTGTAGGCCATGGAAGGCTGATAAACAGTGTCCTGCTTTCTGATAACATCATCCCTTGGGGAAAGCCGAGGCAGGAAAGGCTTCCTCCCAGGAGTAATTTATGCAAAAACCTGCTGCTGTGGAAAAAAAAAAAGTGAGAGGAAAATAACAATATCTGGGCACAACACCTTCTCCTGGAGTGTTTGTTTAATTATGGAGCTGGGGAGCAGAAACATTAAGTACACACATGTTGTTTTCAGTGCAGGAACAGCTCCTTCTGGAGCAGGGCTGCCAGGATAAAGTCACCTGAACATTTCCACTTTATCCTGATGGAGGGACATGCATTTCTATATGTGGTGTCATCAGGCTGCTCTCCTGTTGAGTGGGAATTTGATTTCTAAGGGAGGCAAAGCCAGCAGCACCCTGGGGATTTTTTTAGCTAAAATGATGGTTGCCAGAGTTCTCCTGCACTGATCCTGAGCAAATACAGTGTTCACACAGACTACCCTCAAAAGCTGGCCAGGCTCCATGTTTGTGTGTCTAAATCAGGATTAGATTGCATTATGGAGGGCAAGCTCCTTTCACCCAAAGTATTTTTATTTTAAATGAAACGGCCTGCAAACCTGAGGTAAGTCAGAGAACTTAGGGAGGCACCTTTGAGCACCCTTTTCAGAGCCAACCTATTAATTTTTCCACCCTTTCCCAGTCATTTCTGATCTCAAAATAAGCTGGTGTGCCCGGAATGCCACTGCTTAATTATTTTGGGCGGGTGCAACAGATGGGCTGCAATTTGTGTGAGGGATGGAGGTTCCCTTCCCAAGCTCCTCGTGCCAGAGCACTGTTCCCATGTGCACAGAGACCAAAAGATGTGGTTTGGGGCACGGTGCTGGTGGTCAGGAAGGGGACACAAAATGCAGCTCTCTGAGCGAGTCTGCTCCTGAGCACTCCCAGAGCTTTGTTGTTCCTCACAGAAATAAGCAGCTCTGGGTGCTTGTG